ATGCAAGTTTTATTGTATGGATCTCTTGATCAATTAGACTTGAGAAGTCATCTAATCTAAATACATCTTAAAATGTAAGGCGTACTTAAACTGCAGCGATCGATTGGTCAAAAAGTTGACCTTGAAAATTATGAAAATTTTGACTTTTAGGGTAACTGATACAGTGTTGCTTATTTTAAATAGAGTGTGTGAACTCTGCGGGAGGTTCTAAAAACAAAGTTCCACCACATCTAATATAACGCCTAATTTACAAACCAACAAAAAATGTCCTGCCCCACCAAACCGAACACAAAAGGACCCAATTAAACGTGAAACTTTCATCAACTTCGAGGAAGAAAATTTTCATGGCAGGTTTTATTTTCTCCGAAGGAAGAGACCTCACAGGTAAACTAGACATTCCTACAAATACATGAAATATTCCGGCAGTAAACGTCAAAATTGAAAATGGAAGTCGTTTCGAGTGAGACGAGATGGTCCCATCGATGAGGAGAGGGGAACTTTACTGCCCCATCTCTCTAGTCTCTAGCGTGAGGTGGATTTACGATCCACGTCAAGCTGAAAAATTCACTGGCCATCGCGGCCGACGGTCGTGTATTGGGATTAGACGTACAGTCGGTGCACTCGTATATACGCACTAGGTCGTCAATAGTTCATTTCACAGCTTTTGGTGTGTCATACTAAAAGTATCGGCATCAGTTTTATACTACCATCTCCCTCACACATGCATAATGTAAGGCCCGACTTTAATATTGACTGGCGGAAATCAAAATTTGCTCCTCACTAAGAGAAAAACTGTACGATTTCTGTAAGATGGGCTCCTAATTATCGTATTAAATAAAAAATACTTCATATATCACATGACTCGGCTACAGAAACCAAGTTTTCATTTGTGTCCGTCACAAAAGTCGACGCAAATTCCAACAATCTAAAAAGATTTGTGGTCTACTCGAAACACGAATCAAACCTGATGCAATAGGTTGACATGAGGCCATTACTGAGCATTCTGACACAATATTCTTGCTGTACAAAATTCTGCTTAATAAATGTTTTGAAGGCATAAATGAAATTACTTATTCTTTAACAAACATCGAGTAAAGAGTCAATTTACTTACCGCTAACAGGAAGATGTCGCGCTCTCTACTGGACGGTAGGACGACTACACGACCATGCTGCCCGCGCTGACGGTATTAAGGTTAGAAGTAGTTGTCCTACTGAGTAGCAGGGGGCGCGAGCGCTCCCTGTTTTTCGCGCGGTAGTCAAATAAGTTGAATTTTTGCTCGATGTTAAAGAATAAGCATTCTGTAATTTTACTTATGTCCTCAAAGAATTTGTCAATCTAGATATTGTGTCGGATTTGTTTCCATGCTTCGAGTATGACGCAAATGCTTATTTTTCATTTTTGCATTTATGATCATGGCCGCTAATTTGGTGTTCGGACGCAAATGAAAAAATAAGTTTTTGTAGCTAAACCAAATGATTTATGACGTATTTCTTGATATAATATGGGAACTGGGTTGCCATCTTACACAAACCGTGGATATAATTGTTCTCTAGTTTGAGAGATATTTTACAAGAAATCGATTCGTTACTTCAAAGGCATCTTCTCATTGTTTGAATTTGTGACCCACATGCTTTTTTCGCCATAGCTTAGAAAAACCTTTTTTACCATCGTCTCGCCAGCTTGAAAATTTTCTCGTTATCAGTACGCATTTGAAATGAACGTACCTTCCATTGATCTTCGTAATCTAAAACAGTAGTACCTGAAAATACAACTAATGGACAATATCGACAGTTTTTGAGAAATTGGCTGAAATCAGTGGTCATTTATCAATCAATGCATGTGTCCAAGAGCAACTGCACTTAAGACTGGTTTTGCCTAGGGTGCAGTCGCCCTATGGAGCTTCAACTCCGCACATTACTCGGTTAGTCAATTTACTTATTTCGGGGTGGACCGTGAAAAGAACTATAGATTGACATAATTCTTGATAAAAAAATTTATGTTTTCTTTGTGTCCAAAATGTTCAATACCTTATTTCGATGAACGTTTTCGCGACAGATACGCGACGAGAAGTGTAAAAAATGTTGACACATGTTCCACATATTGAGACCTACAATAACTTTTTGATCGGCGGATTCCTAATATAGCTGAATTTTTACAAAACATTTTGATTTGCAGTAACGGAAATATTTGACTCAAACTTTATATCATTAGGTAGTAATAGTAGTTAGTAGTAAAAAGATCTAGTTTTGCTTGTGCTGTTATAATAGCTGCAACTGCATGTATTGTTACAACTACTTGACTATTTTTGTGTTATTATTCTAATGCGCTTATTCAAGCGGATGTCTGGAAAGTCTATTTTTTACGTTTTTGAAATAATGGACATTTCCACTACGAGCCCCTTCCCACTTCAGTTGGCCCACTTCAAGATTTGTACCAAAATATACCTTTATAAACTAAACATGACGAAACTATTTACTTCTAAAACAATTCATTTTCTCAAAAACATTTTAGATACACTCTAGTCGTAAAAAATCATATTTGAAATCACTTAGACCTATAACTAATAGAACATTTGAACAAATAAACAATGTACGAATAAATGCGCGAAGCAAAGCAACAATTGAAAGATTACCAATGGGTAACATCACCTGTATTTTTTATTACGGCTGAAATTCTTTGGGGCATAGTGTTAACCAAGTTTTGGCAAAAATTTGGTGTAAAACAATCCCATATTTCTTGAAGCTTTTGTCTCAGTTCGGTGATTGTACGAGCAGGATGTTGTCGTAGAACCTTTTTCATCTCGTGCCACAAAGTTTCAATAGGTGACAGATCTGGACTGCTAGAAACCCATTTCAAAAGTGGTACATTATTTTCTTCCATCCATTTTATAGCCTTTTGAGGTATGGCACGAGGCATTATCTTGCTGAAACACAAATGTCAAACATTCTTCCATCACTGGTAAAAGCGATTCTTCTAAAATTGTCAAATATTTGTTTGTATCCACATTTCCATCAATAAAATGAAGTTTTCCTACTCCTTTTGATGGCATACTGTCCCAGACCATAATGAATGCTGGAAATTTCACTTTTCTCTTCAGACAGTCAACATGGAATGCTTCATTTTTTTTGCAAATAACTGCGACTGTCAGCAACACAAACTTCGAATCGGGCCTCATCACTCCATTGTATTGCACATCATTGTTGAGGTGTCCATTGTCTATGTTCTTTAGCCCATCTAAGCCGATTTTTCTTTTGCAATGGAGTTAATAGTGGCTTTTCTTTGGCCTATAAACAAGTTGTGCAACTTTAGGGTTTTTACTTTACTTTTTTTTTATAAGAAAACTTACCTTGCAAGTGCTAAATCCCAGTTTGTGGGCCTCTCTATGAGTTGTGGACCTCAAAATTCTCCTTCCAACAGCATCACTCCACAGAGCACTTAATTGTAAATAATTGGCACGCCTTTTTTTCACGATTATTCTTCTTAATGCTCTTCGGTCGGCATTTGTGATATTACTTTTTTTCACATATCGTGGCTTAATATTAACTGAACCAGTTACGTTATATCTTCTAACAATATTTCTCACACTATACCGCGATAAGTCTAACAAAGTTGCAATTTCTGAGTTTGATTTCCCAGAATTAAAAAATTTAATTATCAGTAACCGAATTTTCTCACTCATAACCTTTCCTCTACTCATTTTGAAAACCTTAACTACCCAAAACTATTTTAAACGTATTCTGACAGCTGTGATTAATAAAAACAATTGCCATGGCTTTTATTTTTCACAGCCACCTATGCGTTATAGACTTATTTTGCATTGAAATGAAAATAGGTTGATATGCTGTAATTGCAACATGTGTTATTTTTATGCTGCAAATTTGATTAGGGAGTGATAAAGTTGGTGTTTTCTACTACTCGTATATATTATCAAAATATTCATTGTTAATATTTTAAACCTATAACACCCTGCTACATTTTTATTATTTGTGTTTGATAAGAAAAAAACTAAGATTTCAATAGTTGGGCCAACTGAAGTGGGAAGATGCTCGTAATCTGATATGAAATGACTTCCGACGGAGACCCAGTGTCCTAAAAATTATCGCTGGATCTTAGCTTTTTTTTTAAATATCATATGAAAGACACTGTATATGTTACTACAACGAAATTTATTATTATTATTATGTCCATAAATTCGTTTTCCAAGTTCCGCAAATCATTTTAAGACGTTCAATGGCTTAATGGATTTTTGTCATGGTCCGATGCGGAATTTGCATCGTACATTCATTCGACGTTCGTTTTCTTAGTGATACTGTCGTATCATTCCGAAAGATTGCGTATATCCATCTATTTTATCTTTAAAGAGCAGTAAGCACAGAATTCCTAAATAAGGGATTTTGTAGAAATTCAGAGATAATAGAGCTGTTAAAATTCAAAATGTCATTGTCTCGCAAAACCAAAAATAATCGATTGTATAAATTGTTTAAAATACATTCGGTGATGTGATTTAGTGTCAGATGACTAAGATATATTGGCTTGATAGATTTTTAATTTGTTCAGTCACTGCAGTCTGTAATTTTTAAGAATGGACTGTTATATATGTTCTGTATTATAGATTTGAAGTGGAAAGTGTGGCGGCTATGCTCTTATATAAAAAATATATCAAAAATTGGCCAAATGCGAACTTTAGAATTTAAAAAACGATGAACTAAAATAAAAATTGTCATGATAAAATACATATCTTCTCCTAAAATTTTTAAATTTCATCGTCGCGATCAACCTGCAACGAAGCCCCTTAGCGCATTTTTTAGAACTTATCATTTTATTTCCTATACCTTATGCATGGATCCAAAATATTGACAACATATACGCTTCTCCAGTAGTATAGCGACCGCTTGTCAGACCTTTGACATATTCAAAGCTTTTTCAACTACAACTTCATCCAATAACAAAGGCGTTTCCAGTGACAACTCTAACCACACGTTTTTTCATTTCTTCACAGGCGGCGAACCCCTACTTAACCGGCATGCCCCAGGTGGGCGGCACCTACAGCCCCTACTTCGCACCTGCTGGTCTGCCGATGCCCACCATCATGGGGGCGCCGGGAGACCCCACGGGGGGTGTTGGGAGCCCCTTAGGGGTCGTAGCGCCCCAGACGGTAGTCGCGCAACAGAAGATGCCCCGATCAGACAGGCTCGAGGTATGAATGATGTGTTGCAGGTGTTGTTATTGTATTGCGGGACGTAGCGAAATAGCGGGGGCGGTTTCCAATAAGGGATGATCAAAGCATCTCGTAGGAAAGTATTAAAAAAGGCATGAGAGAATATGTAGCTAATATTTATTGAGGATGTATGAGCGGGAGATCGACATAGGTTTTTTTTTCTCTCGAATTGCATTAAGCATCATAGCCCAGGCAACAAAGAAAATTGAAAGTTTTAAATGAAAGGTCTTTCTAATGTAAATACATAAAAAGATACAGCCAGATATGCGTTATTTTTATAAACAATGGGAATAGCTCAAAATTCAGTATTTTGCTTGTACAATTTCGAAATTAAACTTTATAAACAATCGGTAAACTGGAGATTTTAGAGCATAAGAATACCTTCAATTTTATTTTTTAGCAATTAAAATCAATAAACAATATGAAGCTAAATATGTGGCTTTTTAGCAATATTAAATAAATGTTTATCACTAATGCAGTATTGTAAATGGCTAGAAATTTGTGAGAATGAAGTTAATATGTGTGCTAAATTTCGGCCGGATCGGTTTAATAGTTTATGTAAAAATTTAATTGTTTATCCCAGAGACGAATTATTTAAACAACTCTTCTTGCTCAAGACATCGTCCTAGAACGTTTTACAAAAGTGAAATGGATTCTTGAAGGTTTCAGCTTCAATAATCTATGCAAAAAAATTAACTGCTTATTTCAAAATTTTGTTAAAAATGATCTCAAAAAATAACTAAAAAATTGCTATTTTTTATCATCATATTTAGCAACAACTTTGAAATGCATAATTAATTTTTGCATAAATTCTTGAAGTTAAAACCTTCAATAATCCATTTCACTTTTGTAAAATATTCTGGGACCACACATTGGGCAAGAACATTTGTTTAAATAATTCGTCTCTGGGATAAACAATTAGCTTTTTTTATAAACTATTAAATTAATCTGGCTGAAACTTAATTTTTAGCCATTTAAAATTGTTATTTCAATAGTTATAAACATGTATTCAATATTACTAAAAAGCCCGGTAATCGATTTTAATTCTTAAAAAAATTAAATTGAAGGTCCCCAGTTTACCGATTACTTACAAAACTTGATTTGAAAATTATACAAGCAAAATACTGAATTTTGGGCTTTTCCCATTGTTTATAAAAAACAACGCATATCTGGCGGTATCTTTTTATGTATTTTTCATTTAAAACTTTCAGATATCTGCTAAACTTTTATTCACCTTTTTATTTTATCTAGCCTGGACTATCAAGCTGAAGAGTAAATGTTTTTTGAGTATGAAACGGTCTAGATTATGGAAAAAACGTTTTCGCCGAGAATGCCCAAAGGCACAACACATATGAAATTTGTCCACCATTCAATGTTAAAGAAAATTCAGAGAAAGTGATAGTAGATGTTGTCCGGATCAAATGTTCCAATAGTCGCAAAGCCCAGAACTGGAGAAACAGTATTCTAAAGTTTGGCGCTTTAGTGCCTGCCTGCACGATTGCACGAAAACTAACTCGTCTTCAATGTACTCGGGCAACTTAGCTATATAATAAAAATCACGGCAACACTTACAATATATAGTGAAAACGTAAAGTTGTTCGTTAGAAAAACTATATAAGAGATTCGAAAACGTTTAGCGCAACAAGATTGACATCGTATAGGTTTGTATCTCTCGATTGTTTGGAAATATACAGGGTGTTGTACAATTCCGTGGCACAACAAACATATGTTTGTAATGGAACACCCTAGCCATTGTAGCTTTTTATTCAAATTGCTGATATTCTTTAAAAATCGTTAACGACTATGCTTATGTTATCAATGTTATGTTACATTTCATAGTTTGGACATACAAATGTTGATGGGAAAAAATATAATATGTTAACAGCAAACAGTTAACATATTAATCCGATGTATTTAAACGTAGCTAGTAAATTTCGCATCCAACTAACGGCTTTAATATCGTACGTACGTACGTAAGAGCATTTTTCATACCCATTTTTATCCAAAGCTAAAATAATTTCCGCTTGCAATGAATTAAAAGTATATTAAAATGAATCCTCACTCACACGATCTCTCATGTCCACATCCAGCGGAATTTTAATGTCTGTTTTCCTCGAACGCAGACAGTATACCCTTTTTTTTTTGGATGAACCGCCCTCGCATCGTTATATTTATACTCAGTGGCAAAGAAAATGAAACGCGTCATGAAAAACATCAGTAATATTTTATTTTTTACACGAAATAGATTTGGTAACATTTATGTCTTGGTTGTACAATTGAATTGAAAATCTATAAGCAGTCTCAATTCAAGTATGCGGTAAGATCTTCCCACATGTACGAATATTAGATTAGACATCTAGAGGATCATTAAAACGTAGTTGATGAACCGGAATATTCAACTTATGCCCAACCTGTTAGCGGATTTCTAAAAACTACGTAATGATATTGAAAATCGATATCATGTGCTTTTGTCATCCTCTCTTCCCGGTATCCTTCTAAAACCTCGCCGTGTCGGTATTAAAACGATAAGTATTCGCGGTGGGTTAACAATGAAAACAATACAAAATCATTTTTTTTACTTAGGTGGTCCATTTTCTTTGCCACTGAGCGTATTCCCTCTCGCACACGCTAGCGCTGGTTTTAAAAATAACTCTTTGTTTTATCGGCGTTACATGTTTTGAGTTACGCTTGTTTTCTATATTATTTCTCTTTATTTGTTCTTTATTTATTTTCGTTTTACTACTAAGCTTTCGAATAATCTCGCTTGGATATTCCGGCAACTCTAGACTGAGTGAAAGCCGCATTTCTCACGTAATGAAGTTTCTCAGTGGCGTGCGGAATCGCTGCTTTGTGTAGGGCTTTAATAATTTTCAAGCGCCTAAAAATGCTTCACGCATTTCGAAAAAAGCAGTCCCGACATGCAAGACATGTAAGTGTGAGAAATGTGTTGCTTTTTACCGAACTATGTATATAATTCTGATGAAAGTATTATTACTCGAACGACAACTGTTCATAAAATTGGCACTAATAACTACTAATTTGTCGATGTACGGCAACTGAAAGATAACAAATGTACGAAGATACACGTTTGGTTGCAATATTACTATCACTTTTTTGTTTTTTTTAAGCCAGCTGTCAAGTCGGAAATTTTGAACTTTTATATGACCTAGGTCATTTGTTTTGTATAATCTTCATTCAATGACCCACTTACGCACTAGCGCTCAGCTTAAAATATTCAGTAGCTTTTCTTTCGAACGTCAAATACATGTCCAAACATTTTTAATATCAGTATCGATTCACATGAACTTACACTTAAAGTCAATGTAGAACGTCACGGTTTGAGGTAAGTGTAGAATAAAAAAAGATTTCACTTCTGAATAAAACTCTCACCTTAACCTTATGACCGTAGCCAAATTCGTCGAGATTATTTCGTTGAATTTTATGCAAAACAAATAGCTGGACTACATAAACTTAATTTCACGTACTTGATATCTGCACCCTCTTATTTTCTTTTTTACTTTTATTTTTATTTCGCAGGTTTTTGGGTTTAGTTGTCTTGGAACTTAATATGTAGCTTTGGTTTGAGGTAAATAAACAATACACGATACTAAAAACTAACACCTGTGTGAGCGCTAACATAGCAGATATAGATTTTAAAAATTAGTAAATGCCCTTACTTCTTCTCCCTGTGTGTATATATACGAACTTTTGATTTTTGGGACACGCCGATAGTTTACCCCTATAGCTGTATATACAATGACAACTTATTAGTTTTGATTTTGATGATGTACATATTCCTTGTCCCCAAACCTGCTCTCCACTTATGAGCACAGTAACTTTCTATCGATTGTTCACTTGCACAGTGTTTTGTATGTGTGCTTATATTTCAGTGATTTTAAAATAGTTGTGGATCCCATAAATATGTTTTGAAAAGGTATTTGTTGTACAGCACAATTGCAAACATCTCTTAGAGATCCTGGAGCTTAAGGATCGTAGCATATGAGGATCATCACGTAAAACATGTGCAATTACAAAGGTTTTCGCAGAATACTAGGTGGATTTCTCGGATTCATATGAAACATCAAAAGATAATGTTTCAAGATGTGATAAGTTTATATTGTGCTCTGAAGCAAAAGAGTGCTTACTGTGACGTTAGCGTCAAATGCATCTACAATTATTCTAGTTAGTAACAAATTAGGATCTAGCACGTTAATGTCAACAGAAAACATTTGCCTCAAGTAGTTCGTCAGGGATGTACTAGCACTAACGCATTATTGGCGACTTTTTACATCTTATATAATAACCGCCTATGAAATGATATTTTTCGAAAACTTGACGAAATCGATAGTTGACATCAACGTCATAATCGACAGTTCTGAATCAAGAATATGTTCTATTCTGAGACAAAGTATCAAGCTTTCCAATAATTTCATTTTTGAGTCATTATTATACAATATGTAAAAAATTAGCTGTCTCTATCGAACTATACGAGTTAACTATTTTCTAATCGCATTCAATGAGATCATAATTGGTTACCAAGCTATTGAAAAACCTGTGAATTGTACAGTATCTTTCAGAAGCTTAGGGGACTTTTTTCTATAAATCTTTTATATTATTTTTGTGTTCAATATGAATCCTTGAAGTGCACATATTCTAAGGCAGCCTATATACCGCGTGTTTCAGATTTGACTCTCGCCATAGGGATTTCGGAAACGGTGAAAGATACGAAGTCATCTAGATGGGAGCAAAGTTTCTCGTTTGGGTAACTAAGAAAATATCACATAGAAAGTTTCGCAATTGTGAGTATATTTCCGGAGATAGATTGGAAAATTTTCCTAAAATCGTTTTAATTTTTTTACCGACTTTATTTGAGATGGGATTTCAGAATAAAAGGCACATTAACGTTGCCACTTTTTCTCCTGTACAAGATGGCTTGTCCTCAAACATTAACTTTATTTTTTCTTATGGAAGCCATGTCG